TCCCTCCCTTCAATAATCCTTCCTTCAATAGCCCATCCCTTCAATCCCTCCCCAATCCCTCAACAAGCCCTCTCAACCCCTCCTCAACTCAAGCCCTCAACAACCCTAGCCCCTAGCCCCTCAAATAGAACCCCAACCCCCCAAAACCACCCACCCCCCACCGCACCCGACAAAACCCAAGCCATTACAACAAAAAACTAAACCCAACCCCTCAGCCGCAACCCCTCAACCCCAGCCCCTCAACACCCCAAAATCATCCATCCCCCACCACGCCCGACAAAACCCAAACCATTACAACAAAAAACAAAACCCCCCAAAACTCGACAAAACTCCGGACACAAACCCTATACAATTTCTATTAAACCCCAAAACCCTAAAATCCTTAAACCCTGAACCCGGGATCCCGAAAATTTCCGGAATTTTCAAAGGACACCCACGTCTGTTGGAACCTTAAATCCAACCCAGAAAGCCTAAACCTCAATTCGAGTGATTCCGAAAATTCCTAGAATTTTCAGATCCGGGTGATTCCCAAAATTCCTAGGATTTTTAGACAATAAACGTAAAAAATCCGGGAATTTTCCGGATCCCCCTGCAAGGCCCTCACAAGCAACCAAATTGACCAGAAGAGGAGGCGAGACAACCCGACAAGGCGGCCGCAGAGCGAAAATAAGAGTCGAGCCCGTAGCCTTTTATAGAGATATAGTCAAATCTTACTCTATCGAAAAACAAATTTTCAATAATCCAAATATAGTATATACCATCATCTCATTTAGATATTAAATAAAGATTTTCTGAGGATCGCCTAATCCAAAATTATATTAATTTAATCAAATTCACGAGAATAACTCGAGGACAAAGAATATATATAATAGAATATCATAATCTCCATTTAATTTATTCGACCGATATAACCAACTGAATATTGAATATATTCGAAGACCGTATATCACGAAACGAAATAAAATGAAATATGCAAGTCAATCATAAAACGATACATGCAATCGAGCCCGTAGCCTTTTATAGAAATGCCCAAATACATAAATAATCATTCTAAAGTTAATCAGTAAATGGAAATACGAAATCTTTATTTATCATTCAAACTCAAATCTTAACTGAAAAATAACATCAGCGATCATGTTATGGTTCTCTTGGTGGGTCCGAATCATAGTGGACGCGATGCCACTCGGTCGAGTGCATTGTGTTGCGCAGATTATTCTTGTGCGTTCCTCTGCGTTTCAACCTCTCCATGAGCCAACAGCTCCGGGAAGCTCGTCCTGGTCAAGATGCTCGCTTGACGATGCTTGACGCTGTGAGCAAGCGTGTGAAAGAGCCTTACCATGACCTACCCGTAGGTTTGCGCACAGCTGCAAGGACACACGTGCGGGGGGTTGGCAAGTGCTTTGGCAGACATGCGGGGTCTTCCTGGACTGTTCCGGGGAGATGCTCTGTGCATGCGTCCCTCGACCCGAGAGTGAACCCCAAAACCCCGACCTCTCAGAATGTTCGATGAGCTCAGGCCGACAACTTTTTTTAATGGTCAATTTTTCCCTGCAGGTTTTCAGGCACATGCGATTCAATGACATGCTTCGCTGATCTTCATCACATCTTCCATGGCCCAAAGGTATCCTAATCTTAAATTAGTCGGCATCTTTCGGCATCCTGGCCTGCAACATGTCATCCTCGCCGATCCGCCTCGCGCACTGGATCAAGGGATTCTTCTCCAGGCCCAGCCTCGGCTACGTCCATGTCTGCAAGAGTAGCTGAAGTAGCTTGTAGGAGTAGTTTCGCGCAGGCATACATGCAAGGCGATGAGCACCCAAGTTTGAACAATCGGAAACATGCATAGCTTCGGCTTCCACTGGCTGGAACCTGTTCGACGCGATCCAGAAACTTCGACAACTGAGGGTGCCCTCGGAAGCTCAACTTTTTTGACGCTGCACACGAGGAGCACGTACCATCCACAATGCCCATGGCAGGATGGAGTCCAGGCAGATGCAAGGTTGGACTGCACCGTTGCTGCTTCTGCCAGGAGACAGCTGCTTTTACTGTCCCAATCTGGCGCTGTCAGAACCACATCGACATGTCGCAGCTTCTTTTTCAGCTTCTTCCTTGTCCTTGTAGTTATTCAGAAGGAGCTGCGAAAGACTGGCAGAACCAAGATTACAAGGTGTGTCCTGCTAGCTGTGGTTCAGGACCTCAGGAATGGCCTTGCAATGGTCGGCCGGCTTGGTTGCTGAGTTGGGCGAACGGTGGAAGAAAGAAGGAACTGGACGCAAACGCAAATAGATAGTAGCCAGGCCAGCTGCAACACGAGGTGAGCAATCGAGTGGTCGACGCTTGAGAGGACACCGTTGCTGTTGAACAGCATTTTTAACAAGAGGAGCGCCGAGCGTGGCAGAAGGCGCCTTGGCGAGCTGTTCCAACCCCGTGCCAGTTGTGCTTTTCGTCATCAAGAAGCACACCGAGAGCGATGTTCGACGCGTGTCAACGCTGCCTGCATGTATTTGCATGTGTTGACTGTACTTGGCTGAGGTTTTGCAGAGTTTGAACTTCATGGCGATGAACCGGAACATACCGTAACACGATCAAGGAGAAAGGGGCATGTTTCGGTCTCCTCCGTTGTGCTAATGAAGGCGCGGAAAGAAAGGAGCCAACGCCTACAATTGACCCCAACATCAAGATAACTGAAGAAGGCGCTCCACATGCCTACCATTTCTGCTGAGAGCGGCGCGAAACACCAACAAAATAGCCCAAGCAAACACCACAGGCCGGACACGACGACACGCCAAATGAAGCATGGCGCCGGAACCTGCTAAGGTGCTCGCAGCAGTACTGAGATCGTGGAGCGTGTGCTAATGACTCCTGCTGGCCACTCTGCAGCCAAGTGATGGATTGCACACGTCTCCTTCTACTGGTTGCGGGACAAAATCTGGCATCGCTCGTCTGCTTTTGGTTGTTATTGACATGTTGGTCATTCCACGCGCGAGATGACATCTTAGGTCGGTGAACTTCCTGCTTGGTGGCTTGAATCGGTTCCTGGTTCTGCAACGCATGGTAGTGTTGACGCACTCGCGGGCCCTGGATGTCGACGCCCTGCCGCGGGCCCCAGCCGTGATTGCACGCCAAAGGGCTCATGGCTTTTAGGCATGACGGCCTAGAGGCCCAGAGTCTTGACAGACACCACATGAAATGGATGCAGATACACTTTTCCGTGTTTCGGATCTCAGGCAACACTTAGCAGCATACACCTCTGAGTCCATCGCCTGAGGTGGAACGCACTTTAATCTAAGCACGCGTAAAAAACAACATAACGGTTGTAGTCCTTGCGCTGTGGGTCGGTGAACAATGTGACGGAATGCGACATGAAGTGTGGCAGGTTGCAAGAATTTGCAAGCATGAGCAAACATGTGCAAGCTAAGTGATCGACATGACTCCCAAGCGCCGTGAGATAACTGGCTGATCAACGAGCCCACAGCCTCGATGTAAGATGCAAGGAAACCACTTTTGAGATAGCTGCCGCTTCTGGACCTCTTTTGGGGGGATTCTCGCGCTGATGTCTCAGGCTCTTGCCGAGCAGCAGATCGCTCGCCGCCTGAGCATGGTCTTTATTGACTTCCGTGACTCTTGAACCCAGAGTCATTGTCAGCTTGGGGGGGCAGATTTGGAGGAAACACCTGCCAATGCATAGATCTAGGCGGATTTAACACTCGCCTGAATGACGGCGTCGTCCTCCATGTGCAAGATCCTGTGAGTTGCCTGCCCCGTGACCGTGTGTTGCAGCACTGGCTGTTGTCAAGTCTCAGATGGTCTAAAATCTGCAGAATCCATGACATGCTATCTGCAATCCTACACCGCTCTGCTGCTGTGTGCGATGAGCCTTGTAGTGGACCAGCAGCGAAGCAAAGGCAGCACTGGCTGCCGCACGCAGTGGTGCGGAGGCCAGCCAGGATGTAGTGGCCTGTAACAAAGCGTGAGGCGGGGTCAAACCAGCCGCCATGGAGTGATAAACGCTCTCCACAAACCTGTCAATATATAGCACACTTCATCGCACGTCACAAGGCCGCAAGGCAGGGGGGCCTTGATCAACCTTATCAAGCACGCGAAGTCAAAGTGCGTCTACTGACTGTTCTGGCCCCCGGGAACAAGCAACCAGTGCCAGACGATGTCCGAGACCGCGGCAACTCGTTGACTCGTTTCAACTCCTCCGCCCGCTCATGCTGTCGGATGGGCAAGTCCTGCCATCTTGCTGGGTCAGACGGTCAGAACTCTTCTCCGAGCACGGCCAAGTGGCGCCGTTGCCTGCACCGCTGTCAAGAAGGCCCTCTCAAGTTCTCCGAGAATGAGGACCTCGCATGGCTTCCATGCTGTTGCTTGTAGCACTTACAGCCCTCCCAGAGAGCTGATGCCGACGCAGGAACTCCGCATAAGTTTGACATGTGTTGACCATCACCATCTGGGGAGTCGGGCAGCGTGGCCGCTCTTGCCAGCACGTGCGGTGCGGCCCACTCGGTGGATGTACCTGGAATTCTTGTTCCAATGCAAAGCATATCTGGCATGAAAGCGGAACTGCGTGCCAAAGGCAGCATAGTTCCAGGGGGTGCATCTCGCGGGTTGCCGGTGCTCCGAACTGCAGCACCTCAGTGGAGGCTCGAAGGGTGCGAGATGGGCCCCATGTGCTACACCACTCCTAGGCCTAGAGATTTCATTGCAATAATGCCTTGCCTACTGCGCGATGGCGGTTGAAGATGTTTCAATTCACCGCATCCGCAGACATCTACCAAAAAATGCTGTGGGCAAACTGCCCTCCGCCAATTCTCTCTCTACTCAGGCGAGCGATATCTGGCGAACATTCCGGCTTGCAAGGCCACACAGAGCCAGAGCCCTGCGCCAGTGTGACATTGGGATAGTCCATGCCACGAGCCGAGACCTCAAGCAATTGTGTCGCAACAAAAAAGTAAACATCTGTAAACCACAAGCATCAGCACTCCACCAACATCCCGAACCTTCTCCTGCCGCCGTGGTGTCTCCAGGCAGTGCTTTAGAGCTCTGAAGCATTGGAAATCATTGGAACATCCGGGGCTTCTTCCTAACGAATTTCAAGGAACCCTCAAGAAACCCAGCTTTGAACCATCCCTGTTCGGGGAGCTCCAAGGGTCTTGCATCCGAGGAGAAGAGGATGCCAGACTGTGCTTCCTCCACAGGAGGCCGTGGATCACAGGAGTCGTTTTGAACAATTTTTTCAGACAACGCTGCCTTGAAGCGCTCTTGGGTTGCTATTCGTGCATCGGCCTGAGCTCATTCGTCGTCGCAATCTTCTCAAGCAGAAGAAACGAGAGCTTCTCATCTTCTCAGCATTCAGAGTGAAACAACTCCTTCATGCTCAGTCTTCGACATCACGCCGTCTGTGGATCTCGTACACGCCTAGTCGCAACTGCTCGCGGAAGAACCTTGGCGTAGCATCTGTTATCAGAGCCGGGGTCGGCTCATCGACTCACAGCAAGGTGCCTAGCAGCTCCTGTTCTCAGATCCCAGCTGTGCCATGAATGTCGTCATTCTAGCCTGGTCTTTATGCGAGACTACTGACTTGAGGACAAGATCAGGTTTGCGAAGTAAGGCTGCTGCAGTAGCGAAGAAGACCAATATTTTGTAGCCGTACCTGCATGCTCTCAGTATGACCTAAGTGACTTGGAACTGACGGGCAGTCTCATCCAGAGCGAATGATGAGCAATGACGCATCAACATGTGCAAGGCTGATGTCCGAGTTGTGACAGGTGCGAGCTTACAGGATAGCGGTACGGCTGACCAAAGAAAGTAACACCCCGAGGATACATACGCTGTAAACTAAACCTTTCCTCCCATGAGCAGGATTAGATTCGTCAGCCGAAGTGTGCATATGGCTCACCTGTCAGCAGCCATCTCGTTCATGATGAGGTTGTACAGCGCTGCCAGACACTGGTGCCTGGAATTTGCAGGAAAATGCGGAAATGCCAAGCAGTCTCAAATCATGTTGTTTAGGTGCAGAGAAAAGCCTGTGCGTGTCAGAGCTGTAACCAGGCGACCCGGCCCATTCAACACGACGTAGGACTGCTGTATCGTGCTGGCTGTTGGCTGGGATTCCTTCAGCTGAAGTGGCGGCGCAAGTTCCAGCATGCGTACTTGCAGCAACAAGCAGCAACCGCAGCCAGTACTGGTAGCAAACGACTTGCAGCTGCTCAAGACTCCACAAAGACTGCTCCTCCCCGATGCAGTCGATGTAGCGGTAGTTGCCACGGCATGCTTTTGAAACCACATCCATGACCTCAGTTGGGATACCGCTTCTCTGCTGCTCAATCTGTGGAATGTAGCCGTACTTTCCCAAGAGTAGGAGTCGTGCACTCTCGGGCATCGTAGCAGAGAAGAGCATGGTTCGACGCCTCAGGAGCAAGTGTTTTCAAGTCTGGCCGTGGCGAACGTCTGGAGGTGCTAAACGAGCCCGCCAGGCTGCTGAGCAAGGTGCTGTGTCGGCAGGTAGGACACGATCTCCTTCACCTTTTCAGCTTGAAAACGTTTCGGGGCAGCGACCTTGTGGGAGGCCTCCGACCTCGGGGAGGAAGCCCAGGCTCAGGAGGCGGTCTGCCTCATCCAGTACCTCCGTTTCTCACTCCACGATTGCTTACACACATTCTCGCATTCCCTCCACTGTATAACCTCCAGGTCGCCGGCCAGGGTTTGAAGATTCTGGACTAATGTGGGAAACAGGTATGTCCTGACACCATCAGAGATGACAATAGCACATCTCGTCCCTGGCCAGCGTTAGGTGAGCTTCTAGTCTGCATGTGACTCGTCGCTCAGTTGGTCGGCCTTTCGAGGTGCTCAAGGAGTCGACCAGGCGTCGAGACCTCATGAAGTTCATGAGTGTCCAGCTGCTTGGACTGCTAGCTTGCCCGAGCTCCCCAACCAGAACGCGTGGCTTGACTCGTCGAATGGCCACCTCTTCATTCTCCAGTCGCCCACAGGGGTACATCAGGTTGCAAGTGGGCTGGCCTGGTCATGCCTCGTGCTGGTGCCGCCGATCATCGTCAGCAACGAGATGTTGTGCTCTGAAAGGAGCATCTCTGCCTGGAGCATGCGTCAATGCTGCTTGCCAGGACTTTGGTTGGTGCTTTGCCAGCGATGATTGTGTGTGTGGGCGTGTCATTAGCTTCTTGATTTGCCTGCATGTGAAGGCTTTCGGAGTTTCGGTGCCTCGCGCCCAATCTGCAACGCCAGTTCGCGTGTAGGAGATACCACCAAAATCGCAACCTACAGTTCTGCAACTCAAGATCAAGGCTCAGAGCAGTGATTCACATGCACCCTGCTTGTAGCATTCCTAAACTCTCAACTCCGGTTTCAGAATGCCACATCTGCCACCAGCAACAACAATGTTGCAGAATGGTTGCCCTCTGGACTTCCCAAAGCCGAATGCCCCGGGGGCTGCACGCCCTGCCCGGCTATCTCGGCCGCCAGCTTCTGAAGGCACGGGCTTGCTTTTGAGTTTTGGACGGCGCCTTTTTTTTGGGCTTTGGTCTTCTGAACTCTTTCTTGCTCTCTCCGTGAAACCTTGTGCTTTAGCCTTTTAGCTACATGAAACTTGTGGACGCAGACAGTTCAGGCATGTTGGCCCTGGGCAGGGACCATTTCTTATTCTTGTCCTTTCCTGTCATGGTGAACATGCTCAGCAGCAAGGCATACCAAGATTGTGCAAGCTGTCTCGCTGGCAGACGGGCAGTATAGGGCCTCCACAGCGGGTATGAGAAAGGCAAGTGTCTTGCCGGTGCCTGTATGCCTCGTCTGTGGGAAGATACAGCATGATGCGGTTATTTCCGGAAACATGGGGCCATTCCCGAATGCCCCAGAATAGGCAACATCTAAGGTGCAAACGCTCGGACGACGAGGTCGAAATTCTTGGCCAAGGCCGTAGGCAACACCTTCTGAATTCTAACCGGACATTCTGAATCTGCCGAGAGGCTTAGTGCCCGCTGCTTGGGCCCATTCTGCTAGGGAGATGTTGAGGGAAGTACGTGTTCATTGTACTAGCATGTGACTTGTACATCGTACAGTGCCTTCAGAACCTTGTTTCAGCCACAGTGACGGGCTCGAAGAGCCTTCTTGTTCGGGGCACATGTTGCATCAACGCTCGTGTAATGCAGCGACCATGGGCGATGATGGTGTGTACGCCAATGCATTCACGGTGGGTTGCCGGCATTGTGCGCCAAGGATAGAGCTACGATGTGGGCAGTAATCAAAAATTGACCGAGGCCTGTGTCTATCTGTGTCTTGGTAGCCAGAGCAAATATTACCGTGGTGGCACCAGTCTTGTGAAGCGAGACACGAAGTTCTCAAGTTGTGATGTCGGTCGCGCAACGAAGCGGTGCGGGGAAGATATGTCCAGCCCTATCGGTGCCGCCTGCGTCTGGACCTCAGACATCTCCTCGTAACCGAAGCCTTCGCGCCTGAAAGGATGTCTTGGATTCCTTGAATGTCTTGATCTAGGTCTCTGCTGTGATCAGTTTATCCTGAATCCGATGTCAGTCTCTGGGAACCTCTGAGAAGTCACGTTTCAGCCCCAGCCCCCAAGTGCCCCTAAGACGCATTCCGAGGCCGCCACAGGGCTGTCTGTGTTGCCTCAGACAGCTCCAGGTCTGCGAACTTGCGAGGTGAGTCCTGGCTTGGCATTTGCTTGACATGCCCGGCATAAATTTCACTCAAGTCTGGGGTTTTGGGTGAAGGGTTTACCCCCAACCCTAAACCCTCATGGAAACACTCCGTTGTGCCCCTCATGGAGAGCTTCCTGGTCAACGAGAATGCTGCCGAGTCACAAGTAGGGGCCTAGATAATTGGAAGAGGGTTTTGGGGGGTTCTTGTACTTTAATTCTATGGGGATCATAAGGGCACACTATTGGTAAATTACTCCGAGCTTTTTTACCAGTAGGCACTTCATGCATCGCCCCCCTATTTTAGACCCTGGCGATCTACAAAGCGAAGCTGTCGCAGCCCTAAATCCTGAACTGTAAAGCTCCAAAGCAATCCTTGCGATCAAACATCCCAAATCTCCAACACACGCAGGCAGAATTTAACCCCAACCGCAAAGCTCGAACATATGCCTCAGACTCTATTTAGGACCCGAAAACCCCAGAACAACCCGAACACCGTTTATACCCCAATTCCCAGAGCCATCCCTACCACCCCGTAACCTAATCCCAAGCGAAGCCCGATCGTTCTAGATAGGTCAGGACCCAGTTGGCTCGTTCGGGACTTCGACTCGCTCGAACTGCTCTCGGCCCTTTTTTCTTCGCGCGTCGTTCTCCGAGGCGCCGTCTCCAGCTGCACAGTTCCAGGATTAGGCAACAATGCAACGGCACTGCTTAGGATTGTGCGATGGCCGGTCGAGGAAACTTTGCGGACGCTGCCAAGTAGCGTGTTTCCGTGGCTCATCATCCGAGTTCCTTTCGACCTCCTATGGCCTTTGGTCTCCCTGTCTCAAAGGATGCATAGCATGCATCAGGGAGGAGAATCGCAAACCATACCTTCAATGAGCCCAAAAGATCCACACGTCACCTGACCTGCCTAATTTTGAGCCAGCCAACGGTATGGTTTGCTCCTGCGAAGGCTCTAGACGGCAGCTGCCAATCGTCGGGCAATTGCCCTGGGCAGATTTGAATTGAAAAAGATACAACATGCAGTGGGTATAAGGCTGGCAATGTAGCGCCCAAGCCTGTATCCAGGAAGCAGCAGCTTTTTGTTCAGGTCAGGACTATACGACCCCATCAGCATCACAGCTACTAGCACATCATGCTTGCGGGGATACTCGAACTCTAGTAGGTTCAGCTTTCGGCTGCTGTTCCATGCTACTCATACTACTCACGTGCACCGAGAACGTGCCTCCGTCACCGAGATGGATGTATTGGTATGTCATACCAATACATCCAACTCGGTGACGGAGGCACGTTCTCGGTGCACGTGTCCTCGAACTCCATGGCGGAGGCACGTTCTCCTCTCGGATGAAGCTGTGCCTCAGTGCTGCAGTCGTGGTGGCCCGAGCCGCGACATCCTTAGCCAAGAGCTGGTCTACAAATTTGCGTGCCTGCGCGGAGACACGGCGCCAGATCGAGGTGCTCAGGTTCAACTTGCTCTTGAAAACAGCATTGCGGACCTGCACCTCCTCCTCAAGCTTACGGAGTCCAAACGGCATGTCTCCGACGAGGAGTGTGTGCACAATCAATCCCACCCCCCAAACATCCGAGCAGGCACCGCAGAGTCCGCACCAGGCTTCAGGAGAGAGCCAACGCAGTGTGCCCCCAGGAGCAACATCGTGGAGGTCCGTTGCGCTGGACTCTTGGATCTTTTCGGGCAGCGCCCAAGCCAAGCCCATGTCGAAGAGCTGTATGTTCCCTGGCTGGTCCATATTTCGGACTGCACGGACAAAGCCAAAGTTGTCCGGTTTAATGTCACGATGCACGGCTCCAGCCACACGATGTAAGTAGTGCACTGCCGAGAGCATCTGCTGCGCCAAGTCTGCGCAGGTGCGCTCGGGAACTGCTGTCTCCACGGAGGTCATCCAACCTTGCAGCGTTGGCCCCTCCAGAAGGTTCATGACAATGTACATGCTTTGCGGCATGTCCAAGACCCGCAGCAAATTGCGAGTGACATGCTCTCGCGTGGCCGTCTCCTCACCCAGGGCCTGAAGGAACTCGAGCATGCGGCTCATGGGGACGTTGACGAAGCTCTTGGACAGAGACTCAAGTTCTGGATCTCTGTTCGGAAGCTTGACCCTCTTCATAGCATAGGCTATGCCCGGGCTCAACGGCTTGAAGTGGCTCAGTCCATGTCCAGTAGGCTCGACCCTGCACACTGTCCCAAATCCACCTCGGCCGAGGTGCCCTCCCTCTGCAAAGTAGTCTTGGATGCATCCACGATGGATGACGGCAACGCCATCATAGCTGTCCTGGATGTCAATGTAACGTTTTCGAAGGGTCGCACTGGCCTCTCCCACTGTCCACGCAGGAGGAGAGCAAAACCAGCTGGCAAATCCCCTCAACACTGTCTGCGCCAACAGGTAGCAATCCCTCTTCGAAGGAAGGAGCCCCTGCGCAACCACGCCGGCAAGAACCGGACTATCGCTGTAGTCAGGCAGCATGAGAATGGAGCGTGGCACAGGGAAACTAGATGTCACTCTAGACTCCGCTTGGAGCCAGAAGCTGACCTGTGGGCTTGATCATCGAGAGAGTGTGCGGCAAAGGTGGTCAAGGACAAACTCCAGAACAAGCTTGGCAAATGGTGTGCTGCCCATTGCAAACTGCAGAGATTCTTGTAACGCATTCATCAGCTCTCACACGGCACCTCTGCCTGCAGCGGTGGCGGCATCGGCGTGCGCAGTGCCCCTTTCAAAGGCTGCATCATGTCCCGTGATGTCAAGTGATGTCACTTGCGCCTTGTGGCCTAGGGCCTAGGTTCATGGGCTTTGCTTGAAGTTTCAGGCTTTATGTAACCTGAGTCCAAGTGGACGCGCCTGTCTGACGGCCAGCGCGCGTGCGTGCATATCTTGACCTCGTCCGATATGGACCAACCCCAGATGCAATCCAAGCGCAGCTTATTTACGTGCTCCTGGAAGCTGTGACCAAAGCAGCGGGCACCCACTACTAAAGAACAAGTGGCTGCACAGCATCCGCGCTCGGAAGAATCTTCCAGCACGGCGGACCTCACATTCACATTGTCAAGCGCCTGGTTGCTACAAGAATGGCCAGCAAGCTGCACATTGGTGTTCGAAAGCGACACATGCTCATATGACCAACAGTTGACCTAATGTTTCAACAACTCTTGTGGTTGCCAGACCTTTCGAAGCGAAGCGGTGCCAGCAAGCCTGAAGTCTGAATTCAAGCTGAAAGACAACTCGCACATGCTCACGCCCAAAAAAGTGTAAGCCAAACAGAGAGTTCGGGCTCTGGATTCAACATTCGCATGTTCGGGGCTTCCGGGAGGCAAACGCGTGGCAGTAGACGCCAGGCGCCTCGCACAGAGGGCATGTCAGTATGCAAGCATGCAGTGCATGCATTGTCCGAAATGCCGGATGAGTGCCGCAGACGTCCCCAGACAAAGCACCCGGCTTCGCATTCTGCCATGGATGGCGTCTGCAGGTGTAAGACAGTTCCAAGGTGCAAGTGCAGCGGCTGAAGCTTTGGATGAAGCTACAATGCCTGGGTTACGTTGTATTGCGGTGCGTATGCAGCTAAAGTGTAAGCGGAAGATGCTGGTGTCTGTTGCAAGGGGGTTGTCAGATCACTAGTGCTGTGTTCGATGACTCATGCTTTCAGCTCATACCTTTGCTTGTGCACGATTGTGACATAGCAACAAGCCCATACTGAGAAGACGTGCTCATTGCTTGCCATGCGCATTTGGCCGGGCGAGACCAGGCTATGCCAATCTGTCTGTCACTGCTCCCCGAAGCTCGAAGCCCTTAACCTCAACATTGAGCCCCAAACCCAAAGGCTTGCAGGAATGTTCAGTGCTTGGGGTTGATTCCCTACATTCCCCAACCCATTGGAGACATATGGGGAAATCGAGTGCCGATGATCATTGGACCATGTTGGACCTTAGGGTCGAAGAACCTAACTTCGCTAAGCGGAGGTTCCTCAGGCCTAAAGTTTCCGGAGTCTCGGCGTGTTTTTTGAGGCCTTTGGAAATGCAGAAGACACGAACATACCGGCAAAACCAGCATGCTTTTGGCTTGTGCGTGCATCAGCATGCGAAGAAACCCGGGCCGCTGTAAGGCATCGGGTTTAGAGTTTGGCGTGAAACCTTCAGAGCAGCTGTCTCGCCTCCGGAAAGCAAAGCCGGCCGAGCTCCGCTAATCCAGTAGTGTGTAGACAAACCAGATGCAAGATATGAGTTGGAACACGCTCCGGAGGTGGGACCCTTGTGATTTTGGAGGCAGATGTTCAACCTCCAACCTACCACTACGGTTGCTTCAGCCACCGAGGTGCTGAAGCAACAAGCACGCAACACATTGTGCGCCCAAGATCAGCAAGCCGGTGGCGAGTCAAGTTCGAAACTAGATACCGCGCCAGGCCTCTAAAGAATGCACGGGGACACCGAACATCTCATCGAAGCAATACCAACTGTAAATCCAAGAAAAACCTGGAAACAACAAGCACTGTCTGTGCCACACGGCTGCCTTCTGCGGGGGCGTTCCATGCACAGATCGCATGTCCGCGGCATCATCCCCAAACTTCCAGACCCTTTTATGAACTCGAACGGCCCTAATGCTCTACATCACAGTCCACAAGTATGCACAATCATGGCGAGGCTTTTGACTTAAGCATTAACGCGGTACCGCTGCATTCCAGAAACCACTTCATACCCTGCAAAGTCATTTTAAACTTCGCTGGGCAGTAGGATTATTGTGCAGCAAGCTGCTCGCAAGAGAGTGTGCAAGAGAACCGAGGAGCTCAACTAACGCACATGATACAACACTGACAACACTTGCACTTGTCTGCTATCGTTGCGTCTACTGGGTGTATGTCGCAGCCTACGACCCCAAGCACCCCTTTTCTCACGCTGGGCTCGAGAAAAAGGCATGCCCCAGAGCCCTAAACCGTCTTCAGGCAAATTTGGCCTCAATCCGCTCCTCGGTCCCTGCCTCACTCATGTCCAACCTCCTCTTCGATTTCCTGGCGATGCTTCCATCTAGTTACTGTCTCCAGACGTTTGTACTGGGATACTTAGAATCCTAGAATGAGACCGCACCTTGGGAGTTGTCCTAATCTCCGTGCTTCGGCAGGGTAAGACAAACACACACCCACAACGGCAGACTGCAAACCCTGCCAACCTCGATACGCCGCCTCACAACAGGGATTCGCGAGAATGTGTGGCCAGAAGCAGGAGTGACCCACATGATCTGCAAGCAAGCTGCTGCAAGGCAATGATCTGCTGATGGACAGATGTTTTCTCGCCCTTGAGCGAGGTGACCTGAACAGAGCGGGTGCTCCATCACTGGCTTGGCCGGCTGTTTGCCAGGCCTGCATCTGGAGGCGGACGTTTTCAGCCTCCTGCAACTCCTGCTGCACTTTGAACCTCAGCACTTTGGACGTTCACCTGTTAAAAAAACATTGCCCACGTAGTCTTCCAGCGAGGTGCTCTCCCACCATCCTCTGCACGTCGGCTGCAAAGTACCGCTTGATGTCCTCAGCTCGCCCGGGAATGAAACCCAGAAAAGGTGCCCACATGGGCAGACGATCGCAGATGTGGGAAGTATTGTGAAGCATGATCCTTTCCAAGAATCATTGAGCTGCCCCTGCATGCCCGAGGATGAATTCGCGTTCCCGGCTTTGATATTGTGCACATGACCTGGCGCACGCTGAGCAATCTGCGAAAGTCTGCAGACCTCTGCAGACGACTGCGGGTGTTACTGCGATGCAGCGGGTCTTGCAGGCCTTTCTCAATGCTCAGCTCCTCATTTTGAGATTGAAGAGTTGTGGCCAGGTCGTGCACCTGCTCAGGTGTTCGTGTTACGTAAGCTCCTTATAAGGCTCCTTGCAAAACCACGCAAGTGGGGAGCATGAGAGCAAGGGGGATCTTCGAGCCTTTCCCTTCATGCCCGTGGGCTTTCGCGAGTTGCTGCTCACGGGGTCAGTCCTGAACGACAAAAATATACTAATGCAATTCAGAAAGTCATCGCAACTGCAGCATCTTGCAGCCCAGGCTCATTGCAAGGACGGCACGGACTGCCGATCTCCGAAGGGAGTAGGAGCGAGCTTTGGGCCGAGCAACGCCGAACATGCACAAAATCCAGCCTCAAACCAGAGCCAAGAAACGAAAACGCAGTGGCAGCTGCTGTCTCTTTCGGCAGTTCCCACAACATCCCACAACAGGTTCCCGATGGTGAAAAGTCCGTGTCAGTTTTAGCCTGATCAACTCAACTCTCGCCCCCAAAACGGCTCGATCTGGTCGCTTTGGACAGACAGGATGGCCGCAAAAAAAGAGAGATAAGCGCATAGACGCCAGTGGGCACAGCCGTCACAGGAAAACACCACCATCGTGCACTCGCGCGCTCCACGGCCTTGGCTTCAAGGAGCTTGCGGAAGCCTGGAGGGTTTGGAAGGCTTAGAATGTTTAAGGCTTCTAATTCTAAATAGGGCTTTTCGGCTCAGAGGCATCAGTTGCTCCTAGGACCTCTTTCAAGTTATCATTTAAATGGTGCCATGTGAATAGGACATACTTAGAGAACATGGAATCAGTACTGTGGTAACTTTCTTGATTTCACTTTGCTTCGTAACGTGCATAGTTACTTCGTTGGACTACTGTAGCGATGACCCGTCTGGTAATGTAAGCCCTAAACCCTGGTTCCTGAAGCTAAACCCTGCCCCAACCCGAAACTCTCAATCTTCCGTCTCTCAGGGCATTGCTCCCATTGCGGTGGCGAGGCCCAGGAACAATGAGAAGTCTGTGGGCGCGGTGCCTGCGTTCAGGTGCAGGGTGTATTCGGCGATGTGCAGGGCTTGAGTTGTGCAAAAGCATTGCTTCAAGTCTCTGTTTTCTGTGCTTCGAAGACCGCATGGTGCATGCTTGGTTGTCCGACGCTTGTCTGCTTACTTAGCTCCACAACGACAACAGACACAACACCGACATTGAACAGAAATGAAGTCATGCACTTCTGCAACTTGGGACTTTTTCATCTCTGCTCTGCTGCTCAATCTGCCGGAGCTCCGAGAACAGGAACAGCTCGTCCCTGCCATCAAGGATCACAAGCCCTTGTCAGACAGTTGCCTTGCACTCGTGAAGCACTCGGCAAAAAAACCCGACTTAAGCCAAACACTGGCGCCTGCCATCATCCAAACTCACATTGATGACGTACTGTAATTTGCCATTCCTGCGTGACAGGCAGGGAGAATACACGCGCGATGGAATGGTCCACAGCAGGTCCGAAAAAAAATCAGTTGTTTTTGTCCATGTTCTTGTGTTCTTGTGTGGTGTGTGTGCGTGCGTGCGTTCTGCGCTCTACATTGGTACTGTAGACCGTAGTGTCCAGCCTTTAGATAGTCTTCGGACTCAGCAGCAAAGCTACTGCCATACCTGCTGTGCTGTTTTGAACGTTGAAGTTTTCAGGATCTGAGCAGTTACGGGCTTGGCAGGGCTTTTTTGCAGGTTTTTTAGTTTAAGGCTTTTCGGAGAGAGTATTTATATACACGTACTCTTTACATGCCTGTCGCGCAAGAAACGACAAAAATCAACAGCTGCTTAAGTTGGGGCGGGTGTTTTAGGGGCTTTGTTTTGTGGGTGGCTTGGGGATTTCGGGTCTAGGGTGCTTAGGGCGTTTAGAGTCTTTAAAGCTTGTCGGGTCTAGCGCTTTGGGTCTTTTGCGTTTTGAAGGGTCAGGGTTCTGAGGGGATCGAGAGCGGAACGCCATGATGGGGCAACATGTTTATAAACCATACTTGTGGTCTTTATCCGGGGTTTTGGGGACTCTGGAACAATGACCCGATGCGTCGGGGACAGGGGTTTCTGGATGTAAAACGGTTCATCTTTTCAATTAAATGCCGTCGAGACACACAAATAAAAATGTAGACGTTGGGAGCATCAAAATGCTACACGACAATCTCTGTCCAAAGCACAGAGAGAAAAACCGAGATTTATGTTGCCACAGGGACAAGCCTACAAACATCAGCATTTCAAGAAGGAAATAAAAGTTATCCTCCAGACCCACACACCCAAATTTGTTATTCCCAAGCCCTACCAAGGATTCAATCGCTTTATGTGCTGGGTGGAACATTAAATGTCCAGCATGCCAGCGGACAAACATACTCACCCAACAAGTCTTTAAGAAAGAGCCATCAACAAATCCCCAAATTCGAGGTGCTTCCCAGAGGTTCCTGTCACTTTATGGGGATTTAGGAGTTTCTATAGTTAGGGTTTGGGACGGTTGAAAGGCAATTTCCTCAAATACAACATCCTAACAGGGCCCCGTTGCGTAGCGCAAGACACACCCCTCCAAAAGAAGCATGGTGTATAGCACATTCCCCTCTGGACATGTCATGTTGCAAATATCCATCAAGCGTCCCCGCAACTCGATACGATCCTTAGCTAGTGTTGGGGTTACGATTTGGGATTTAATTTGTGAACCCATAGGAGAATTTTCATTCCCCCTGAGGAATGGTGCTTTTTGTATGCTTGCTTCCTATGGTAGTGTAAATATCTCGATGTTTCGTCCCTATGCTTTGGACAAGCCTCACAAGGACTATGCTTGTTGCATGCAATTTCCTATCAAGAACTCTTTGCATGGCTCGTCGCCTCTGAAAATGCAAAAACAACTCATATATATATATATATATATGTATACCATTTACATGTAGGTACTTAAAGGAAGAAGAAAGGACATCCTTCAAACCATAAGACTACAAAGTGTTCGAGGGAATAGGGGAGACGCATACAATCCAGTGTATGAAAACACCGGAGAAACGATCATATTGTTGTGGTCGGATATCTTGTCAGTGGCACCACGTATATGAAAGCCGCGGGGCACGAGAATATTGTGCGCAGTTCCTTTCTCAGTACCAACCATGATATGTAAGCCTATGTAAGCCCCGCAAAGGGGAGTACTGGTCCGTAGACATCTATTTCGGGATTCCAACGGTGTGCGAATAGTTTCTTGATCACGGAGTTTCTCGAAGTGCATTCCCAATGCTTTCCAAACCAATACATGGTAGGCAGCTGGATCATCCCAATCATGTCGTCGTAGTGGTCAAGGGATGCCAAAAATAAACAGAATCTCAAACAAATGCTTGCCCCTCCCCTCTCCCCCCCCCCCCCGGCAGTGAGAATTCCTGTACTTTCCCTCGCCTCCTAAACCATAAACCCTAAACCCCAAACCCGAAACCGTGTCTCGGCCACAGCGCTGGCAGATTGTGCCCATGCGTAAGCTCAAGCTTACGGCGACACTAAGAAGCAACAAGCAAAAGAAGCCTAAGCAAATCATTTCTTTCTTGAAGATGAAAATTCAGGCAATGATTCGAACAAACAAGAACTGGAGTAAAAACAGCGTACCTTTCTGTAGGGTTTGAAATTTCGGGCTTGTGTAAGCTTATTGTCTGGGGTTCTGCAGGGCGTAGGACCTTTGGAGGTTTCAAGATTTAGGCTTCCTGGTCTTGGGTTTCTAAGGCCTTTAGGTTTTGAGTCAGTGTTTTTTTTGCTTTCGGTTTCAGGGTTTAGGGGTTTTCAAAGTTTTGGTTTTTGTTCTCAGGATTTTGATTGTATTGTTGTGTGCGCGTGTGTGTGCGTGTTTGAGGTTTGGGTGCTTTAGGGACTTTCGGGTTTCTACTTTTCTGTTTGCTGTCTTGCTTTCCGAACCAACAAAGACAACGAACACATGTACTGCAATGTACGGATTAAATCATGTCTCCCTCCACGGCACAGCCCGGCATGCGCTCCTGAACTGTCGGAAGGCCGGGAATATCGGGTGGTCGGGCACCGTAGCCACCTTGCCACTGCAACCCACATGGTGCCTTGGCGTGGATGCAAATAGCTCAGGTCTTGAACAAAACCCAGGGTTTAGGTTTAGGGTTTAGGGTTTAAAGACTCTAGACATGTGCCCCTGCAACCGCATAAAGCCGTGCCGCCCCTCCACCACGCGAACGCGGCTTCCGAGTCGGCCGACCGTGCTCTCGAGCACGGCGTCCTCCTTGTATGGCCAACAGTCTTCAAGGGAGGTCGCTTGGTCTTCTGCGAGCGCTCTCGCCGTGAAGTGCTTTTCGTGCACCTGCGCTGGAACTGCGCATCTCTTCAGCCCTCGGCACATGTCGCAACCTCGAATCGCTTTCAAGTAGATTCACCTGTTTACAAGCATCCTTAAGTAGATAAAATTGAAAATCTGAAAATGAAACCCCTTCTTCCCAAACGATAGACAGAATATCAAACGCCCCAAAACGATAGTAGCTAGACTATTGGCCTAAATTTGAAGGCGAAGAGGCGCCCTAGGGGTCTGGGTCAACTATATTCTATCTATGGGTCCCCGCAGGAGTTGGAGGTGCTGTCTTCGGGGGAGCGCAAAGAGGTGTGCAGGAGGCCGCCAAACGGGCGCCCAAAAGCTCTTAAACATGACCCCACATGTATGGGTTCCCAGAAAAACGTGGCAAAGCGCCAAAAACACCGAAGAATGACTGTAAGCATTGGAACCACTGCTGGCTGCAGCCTGCATGACCACGGCGTACCGGAGCCGCAAACTTTTCGGCAGGATCTTGTCACTGAGCACCACAAGGTCTCCAACCTTGGTGCATGTAGAACGGCTATACTAAGACACGATCCGATGCGATTTGGTAGGGCTTCCATTCAGCATCGCGCAGCCCGTGCTGGAGGGTTTTGCGTGACTTATCTGCATAAGCTCTGCGCGTCAAGAACCTCAAGTCTTGATCAACTTACCCTGTGCCCTCCCCGCCGCCTCTGGTTCGCCCGTCGGCTTCTTGGGGACCTTGAAGCCCACTCCGCCGAGTTCTGCCATGAGTGCCTCTAGCGCTTCCAAGGCCTCCGCCTGGCCTGGTAGTTCTTGTGGAGGCTCCTGTGTTGGCTTGGTGACTTCTGCAGGCTCCGGAGTTGGCTTTGGAGCTGGCTTCGGAGCCGGCTTCGGGGCGGTCTTTGGCTCGTCGGTGTCGGGGTCATCGGCTCCCTCCTCAATTTTGAGGAAAGGGCTTGCCGGGCCATACGAAACAGGCCGACCCTTCGGGTAGACCAGTTCGGGAGCCGGGGAAAAGGCTGCAGTGACCTCCGTTGCTTCCGTTGTCTCACATGCCTCAGTCAGGTCAACCGTGGCAGGCTCGCCTACTTCAACTTTCGTCGGCCCCTTCATTGTCATGGGGTGTGCCGCAGCCGGTGCCCTCATCGGCCCGAGAAGGTGAGGCAGTTGCGTCGGCACACCTGCCTTCACCACCACACTTGCGGGCTTCACTACCACACCAATGGTGCGCCGAGTCACCATGCCAGGTACGGGCACCGGCCTTGCCACCGCCCGAGTTGTGCGGCGAGTCACTATGGCAGGCGCGGGATGCCAACCCCAAGCATAGGTCAGGGTGCCAGCCGGGTGCACCCGGATGGTTGGCATCTGCTGTTTTACCGGCGCTGCCCATACGAAGCCTTTCATAGGCAGTGCCATGGCGGGTCCACAGTCGACAGCGCAAGTGATATTGTATGAGATCCCTTGCTTTGGGATATTGTTGATCTGCTTCGGAGGCTTGGCTTTCGTAAAAGCCTAGATGGTTGTGTGAGTTGTGTGAGAACTCACTGCGCCGAAAAGTACAAGCGCATCCGTTCTGCAGAAGTTCACCTCATCTGTTGGGGATGCGACGTAGCAAAAGATGCTGTGTCTACTGAAAACCATAGTGACTTCTTCTCCCTCTGCCCCAAACCTATGGTATTCCGGAGTGTTCGAAAGATGCATTCCCCGGGCGGGCCCCACACACACAAGAGGAAGATGCCTATACTCGAATAATCCGGATTCCCGAATGATCGGGCCTTTTCAGGCTTAGGAAAGCCACATGGCGCCTCCACGGGCCTCATGGAATATGGACTCTCAGTTGACCATCCTGCTTGCCTGGCCTGGTCGTGACCAGGCCGTTCAGTGCAAAGCCACAGCCTAGGGAGGAAGTGTGGCCAAGGACTCGTTTGGACTTGGGGCGAGCATGCTTGGGGGAAAAGGGGGGGAGGGTTTGCCCAAGATCTACAAGCAATGTTGCTCTGCGAACTTCTTGTCGCTAGGCACTGGACAGCAGCTGCATCAAAGCCTGGCGCGCTCGCAGACAGTGCAAGGCTCTCCGACAGTTCGCTCTAAGCTGCAATGTCTGCCACACTTGCGCTTGCGCGCGTGTCGTTTTGATCATGTACGTTCCAACAAGAATGAAAGTTCAAGCGAGCCGGGAAGGCTGCCAGTGCACGAGGGATGGCTCAAAGGGAAGCTCGCGCTGCGCCGATACCTGAAGCCACGAGATCGAACAGATGCGAAGCTAGACAGCTAGACTTGTCAACCTTTACCCAAACGGCACTGCGCTCCTCGAGAGAACACATACAAACAACACTTAGTGGGTCCGGTTGCAGGAAGAACTGGTTTCTCTCTCTACATGTGGATCCGCACGATCCGCTAGCAAGGCGACTGATCCGAAGAGTGGTAGTCAATTGCACGGACAGGCCTGTCATGGACGAGTTGGACGAGGGGCGGATGGGGCCTCGACAGTCATTCGAAACAAGGTCGATAATCCCCGCATCTTCCCCTTCGGCCGCCGTTTTAAACCTTTTGGTTGTGGCCCACTTAGACCTCTCAAGCAAACCCTGTCCTCTCATGCTTCACGAATAACCAAAGAACCAGAGGCTGTTTTCACGAGATGTGAGGCCAATGATGCAGAGCCCCAGGCAAGCGGACCTTCCATTGGATTTCCTTCGCGTCCAACAGCCCTCTCGCGTCTGCGCTGTGTGAGCAGGTCTCGGAGGCCACCTGTGTGTGACAACTTGCGAAGGCACACGTGGCACACGTTGCACACGCTCCCACCCACCAAATCTGCCCGAGCTGCCTGCCTATGGTCACCATCTGGCGCTTCTGTTTGGCATCAAGGCCCGGCCACGATGTTGCTGACATGGCACACGCTTTCACCCGCGAAGCACTGCGTCCGGACTCCGTCCTTCTCGCGTGCAAGGCAGCACAACCCGCACCTTAGGGTCATATAGACCCTGAGCTGCGGGTTCTGCTGCATTGGACGCGAGAAGGACGGAGTCCCGACGCCATGCACCTCCTTTAAATTTCCTTCGGGGACATGCCAAGAACTGCCAAGACCTAGTGTGAGAATGCGCAGGCTACTGGCCCGTCTCTTGTCAACATGCTCGCTGCACTTCTACTTCTGCCAACAGCTGGACTCGACACTGGACTTCGGCCTTTAAGCACTGTGACATGATTGCGACTGTTGAACAGCGCTGCCTCGCAGACACTCTGGCAGGCTTCAAATGAAAGTGCTAAAAAGTGTGCCCACGGTGCCCCTTCATACCTGGTTTGTTCGGGAATGTAAGAGTTGCACAATCGCCGCCTTTTTGATGCCACCAGCTCGGCAGGGAATTCAGTGGAAACGAAATGAAACGATAACAGAGAGTGAAGATGACAGAAGCGCCGGTTGAAATGGCGGGTCAGCCGACTAACGCTATGAGCCAAACCTTTGCAGCCGTGCAGGAGGCGCCTCCCTCACACAGGGTCGAGGGTCCAACCCTAGACAGCAATGATCCCATGTCAGACTACTCGAGCTTTGCCAGGCGCCTAACGCAAGTGCATGAAAGATCATGAAAGTGCACTACGGTCTGGCGCAGTGAGACCGACGGGCATGCGCAAATGAGCTTTGCTGTAGCTCACCACCGGCTTCTTCGGGTGTCTTCTTTGAGCTCACTCGAAGCAAACAAGGTCGTCGTCATCCCCGTCATAATCAGGGTAGACCTTCAGCTGCCAAAACCACGTGACATCACGTAACGTAGCAGCAGGTGACTCGGGCTCTCTCTGCCCTGCTTGACTCAGGTGCGGGCGCTGTCGTCAGAAGAATTTGATGGCGTTTCCTCGAAGGCGTTTGACGGCTAACGCCGAACTTGACGCAGCACAGCGGCTCATTCAGTCATGACTCGTGATGAGTGGTGCATTCAAGGAGCGTCCCCGCAGGCTTGCCCACGGCAAGCAGCCACGTGCTTGCGCTCGCCAGCACCCTAACAAGCTGTGCGGAAGCAATACCCCAGTGACACAGTGACACCCGGGACACGGGAAAATCCAACGTCGCCGCCCAGCTCGCCTTCAGAATGGGCTTCTTGACGACACCTCCGCGAAAAAAGCCAGAACATGCCATGACTCGTGTCGGTTTGGCACTGCGCTCCGAAGCAATTAGGCAGAGAGCCTGCGTGCCCGTTGTTCTGAGGGGACTAGGAAACACAGCAGCGAACTTGACAGACTGTTAGTGTGGACTCCACGAAAACTAACCGCGCAGCTGTCGGAAGGACGTCGCTGCCAGCACTTTGCTTGCCACAGGGATCCACATTTTAGCGCCCAATACGTCGCCCTCTGGTTCATGCCAGAATCGCTGACAAGTTCGTCCTCGAGATATCCCGAGTTGGCGGTGTATGAGGGTGTTGCGGATGTGTGGGGGGTGGTGCAGCCTCCGCCCCGTCCCTTGCTCAAGAACATGCACTTCACCCTGTGGTGGAATCATGAAGCAGTTGCCGCGATGTTGCAAGAGGAGTGCAGCTCGTGTGCATTGTTGCATAAATTCGAGAGCTGTATGCAACGAGAACGGACGGGCCTGTCATGGACGAACTGGAAGAGGCTCCGGCCTCGACAGTCAATCGAGAATGGTCGACAATCCCCGCCTCCTCCCCCCCGGTCGCCGTTTAAAGCTTGTGGTTGCGGCCCCCTCAGACCTCTGAAGCAACTCTTGTCCTCTCATGCTTCAGCCCATGCTTCATAAACAACCAAAAACTAAACCAGAGGCTGCTAACGAGATGCGAGGCCAATCATGCAGCGGGTTGCGGCTTAGCCCCAGGCAAGTGGCCCTTCCATTGGGATTTCCTTCAGGGAACGCATGGGACATGCCAAGACGCTAAAACATTGCTGCGGGTATGCGCGGGCTACTTGCAAGTCTCTTGCCAACATTGTTGGCAGCATGCTATCTGCGACTTTGCCCGGAGTCACCTCCGCTCCCGCCAGAAACTGGACTTTGGCCTGTAAGCACTGTGACATCGCTTGCGGCTGTTGATCTGCGCTGCCTCACAGACAAGAAGGCCGGCCTCCTTGAACTCTTCGGCGCTCACGATCTGTTGAAACTGGGCTCGAACCCGGTGGTTCGTGGCCTGTGAACGTGCACCAGTTGCGAAGGTGCCGCTTTCAACGAAAAACCACTTCCCAAAGCAAGAGCCCCCCAGATGTTCCAGAGATCCCAAATCCCGGCCCTTGTACCTCGAGGCGCCGCAGTGTCTCTGCCCGCTTGGCCTCAGGAACGTGTCTGCGCTACAGAGACCACAGGCCAGCGCGCAAGATGCCAACTCTCGTTAGCCTTACAACTCGTGCTCGTGGCATTGGCATGGCCTCTTTGCGAGCTTCGATCTCGAGGCGGTCGGCCTCCCCAAAGCATGCCCAAGCTACGAGCCGTTACGAGTTACAACATGCCACCATGGAGGCTGTCCACACGTTGCACATTAAGCGCGCTGGGCAAACTCCCCCGCTCCCCTGGCTCCCCTGTCGGCCTCGGCCCGGTCCTGCATCAATGCCTGGAGGAAGGCCTCGCGCTCTTCTGCAGCCTTGATGCAAAAGCTCCGTGTCCAAGCATCCAGACGAGACGACATGAATGCACCAGTCTTCGTGGACACTTCGTGTCGTGTGAGTTCGCCAAATTATAAAGAAACTCTGCCAAATCGCGCATTCATCAGTGATTTCTGCTCGCGGCTGCACCGCCCCCTGGCAAAAAAAAAGGCCCCCCTCCTTCCCTATCCCCCTTCCGACAACAAACACACACACACACACACACACGGACACAGAGAGGGAGAGACAGAGAGCGGGAGAGGGAGAGGGAAAGAGAGAGAGAGAGAGAGGAGAGAGAGAGAGAGAGAGAGACTCAGAAAGACAGACATAGATGCAAACAGAGACGCGGGCTTGGGAACTGCTTGTCGTATCACGGACACTGCCACAGCAATCTCACGGCACGTCCAAGATCGGTGCCGTGGCCTTCTTGGAGACTGAATCTTTCTTCATCTCCTTCGCCAGCCATCGACTGCGGATTCCGAGACTTGCTGATGATGGCTTAGGTGCATCGTCGGAGATGGAGCGTGGCAGAGGGGGTTGTGGTTTCAAACAAAATTGCACGCAGAAACCTTACTGTCCTTACTGTCAGCAAGAACTAGGCGCACAAGGCGAAGGACTTGGGCACAGGCTGGATCCAGGCCCGCGTCCTGCTCGGAGGGGGGCTGGGGCTCGCTGCCCTCACGTCCATTGCCGCACGCCTGTTTCGAAGCAGTGGCCGCTCCTACTGGATAACTTGAGGGCTACGTCGAGGTCAACGAAAGCCACCGTGCATTTCAAAGGTAGCTATTCCAGGTCCGGCAAAACTAGTGGCGATGACGCCCCGGGCCCCCTTTTGATCTCTCCTCTTCCCTCCCCCGCTTCCCCTTCCCCATTCCTCTTCTTCTTTTCCATCTGACCATCTTGTTGATTCACACACGCACGTACGCGACATCCTTGTGTACCCTGTGTACCCTGTATACCGTATATACCGTAAAAATCTACGTACCCATGTTATGCACGACATCCAAAATACATACCCCATAAACTATAAACCCCACCTACCTTTCACACCTTGTATGCCCTCCATGCTTTATGTAAACCTATATAAACCTCAGATATGGGAAAAAACTCCAAATACATCCATATACTCTATATACCTTGTATACCCAAGCGCAGAGCGATTGCCCTCCTCACCAGCCCCCTGCACCCACCCCACAACCCCCCGCCACCACCCCCCACCCCCCCCCACCTCCCCCAACACCTCCCAGCGCTTTCCACCGCTCGCACCCCGGAGCCTGCCCTGAGCGAAGGCCCCATCACTCCCAATAGTCTCGCAAGGTTCTTTAACGGGCAAATCTTGAAGAGAAGCTCGCTAAACTCTCACAGAGCACCTTAGACTGTGCAACTTAGACTCACGGCGCTATAGTTCCCCTATATTAGCCTATATACGCTATGTCCTCTATACCCCGTGAAAACCCATGATGCTCTCTCTATGCTATGTACCCTAGAATCAATACTCCCCCGCCCCGCCCGCCTCTGTTTTCCCGAAATCATCAATTAAAGTGCACTCTCCTGACCGGTTGCCTTGCTAAAGCAGAAACTAAGCTCAAGCCGAGCTGCGCTAGCTCTGGTGATTGCTTTCAAGTGCGCCCAGCGATATGATCCCGCCTTACCGGGCCTTACCTGCTAGTGGCGTACGCTGCATCCGATCCGCTGTCAGTCCGCGCCTCCTTGCTGTTCTCCTCTTTGCCCTCCAGGCCCTGGAGGGGTGCTTTTTCGGGTTTTGGCTTAGCTGCTTGGCTCGCGAGTCAGCGGATCTCATCGGAGGTCGGTGGCGCTCTCAATAACTCACGCGCGGCCTGGGATCTCCGCCCTGTCAGGAGGTCCGGCAGGCCGCCTGCATATGACAACTTGCGAAGGCACAGGCTCCACACGCCAGAGCTGCGGAAGCCACCTGCCTTGCAGAAGGGGAGCGGCATCAGGGCCCTGCCACGATGTTGCTGACGTGGAACACGCATGCACCCGCGAAGCACTGCGTCCAGACTCCGTCCTTGTCGCGGCCTGTGCAGCAAAACGAGCACCTTAGGGTCCATCGTCAGATGCCATCAGCTTACCGATGTCTACGAGCATGCAAAGCACCACAACACACGGACTAGACACGGCATCTGAGTGCGTGATCAAGTGGCTGTGTGGCGCCCATCGCTTTGCGATGAGCTGCACAATGAGCTGAAATTGAAAAAACCCTTTGAGCTTGGACGCTGCAGGGAGGTTTAGCTATGGCCCGAGCGCCAGCTGCCTGGACACTTCCAGAAACCCTCTCCCGAACTCAAGGTTGGCATCTGGAAGTGGCCCTCTTTTTCTTTCTGACTCTCCTCAAGCTGCATCCCGCCCGTTTCCGCTTCATCTGGCATCTCAGACAGCGCAAAGCCTGCCACGGCCAACTTAAAACACGAAAGTGATCACATCTGCCTCATTCTGCCTCCTTAGACTTTCAAACATCTGTTGCATGCCGCGGCTGCTACAGGCCTTCTGGGAGTCTCGTGGCGCGTGTGAGGTTCAGGCCAACACCGCCAACTGACCCAACAACTTGCAACCTTATGAGAGTGCTTGCTTGCGGCTAGGTCCTTGGCATCACGCGCTGGAAACAATCTTCGGAGTGAAAGCCCCCTATCTTACGAGAGAGGTGATCCAAGCCACATTTGGCATGTAAGTTCCAGCAAGAATGAAATTTGAAGTGCAGCCGGGAAGGCTGCCAGTGCACGAGGGATGGCTCAAAGGGCAGCTCGCGACTGCGCCGATACCTGACAAAAGCCCAAGATCGAGCAGACACGAAGCCAGACGGTTTGGTGGTCAATGGATATTTGTCGACAGTCCCCACATCTTCCCCTCCGGCCGTCCTTTGAAACCTTTACGCCCCACTGAGACCTCAAGCAAACCCCCTTTCCTCTCATGCTTCACGGACAACTAAGAATCCACGAGCCAATGGGACATGCCAAGAACTGCCAAGACCAAGTAGTGCGGTTATGTGCGGGCCTCCACTGCGCCCAGGAACTGCACATTCGCAGGCCACGAACCGCTGCGTGCGAGCGCAATTCGACCAGATCGCGAGTCACGATCTGTTCAAACCGGGTTCGAACGCTGCGGTTCGTGGCCTGCGACTGTGCACCAGCTGCGAAGGTGCCGCTGCCAAGTCTTCTTCACGCACCACCCAGGCCCCCAGCCGTCGCAAACCACTTCCCCAAGCCAGCGCCCCAGATGTTGCCAGAGATCCCCCCTCAGCGCCCCGGCCGCTGTACCTCAAGGCGCCGGAGGGTCGCCGCCCGCTTGGCCTCAGGATGTGCGCCGGCGCCAGCGCACGCAAGATGCCAACTCTCGGCAGCCCTACAATGGAAGGCAGACCGCCTCGAAATCGAAGCTTGCAAGGAGGCCATGCCAATGCCACGATCATGAGTTGTAGGCCCTACAACTCATGATCGTGGCATTGGCATGGCCTCCTTGCAAGCTTCGATTTCGAGGCGGTCTGCCTTCCAAGCAAGCCCAAGCGACTCGCTACACCATGCCACCCTGGAGACAGTCTACACGGTGAGCATTGAGCGCGCTGGGAAAACTCTGCCGCTCGCCTGACGGCTTCGGCCCAGTCCTGCATCAACGCCTGGAGGAAAGCCTCCGGCTCTTCTGCTGCCTTGACGCAACAAAAATCTGCGTGCAAGCATCCAGACACAAAACGCACAACTCTGCAAAATGGCGCGTTCATCTGCGACCTGATGCTCGCGCCTGCGCCGCCCACTAGCGTATGAAAAACACGACGGCCCGCCCTCCCTCCCTATTATACATATATCCTGAATTCCAGAGCGCACACACACATACATACTGACTGAAACAGACGAAAACACAAACAGACGTCTAAGACCGGTGCCGTGGCCTTCTTGGAGGTTTCATCTTTCTTCATCTCCTTCGCGAGCCATTGATAGTGGATTGAAAGGACTTGTGGATTATTGCTTAGGCGCATCGTCGGAGATGGAAAGAGCGCAAGAGGGACGGGGGTTGATGGGGGTATAGCAGAGCAACAAGGGCTTCCACACACCCCTCCGCGCCCCCAGACCCAGCCGCATCAACCCCACCCTAACATACCTTGCTCTTCCACCACCTCACCGTGCTCCCACCCAGCCCCCATCACCCCACCCCTAACCACTGTAACCGCCCTGCCACTACGTTTTCCTGACCACCTCCACTGTTAGCGCTTCCACCGCTCGCAGCCCTGAGACAGCCGAGGCCTGATCACCTCCGTCACCTCCGTTGCTTTTGTAGGATTCTTGAACGGGCTCCACTCAAGAATCTTGCAGAGAGTCTCGTTGAAGTCCCAGATGGCGCTATGGTACATCCGCCACGTACTCTATATACCCTGCGAAAACCCTGATAGATATTCTGTGTGCCCTACAATCAATTACCCCCCCCGCCCCGGCCAATGATAGAGAAATTCCAATACAGACCGGCGTGCACCCTTCTGCTCCTGGCTGGAAGGGAGCCTTTGAGCATCTAGTCGAATATCATCTACAAGTGGGACCTGAAGGATTTATTGGAATCCTTCAGGGCCCACTTGTGGGGGCTGAAGGAGCTTTTGGAATCCTTCAGGGCCCACTGGTGGGGGCTGAAGGAGTTTTTGGAAGCCTTCAGGGCCCACAATGTCGGGGCTGAAGGATTTTATGGAATCCTTCAGAGCCCACAAGTGGGACCTAGGGCCCACATGTCGGGGCCGAAGGATTTTTTGGAATGCTTCAGGGCCCACAAGTGGGACCTGAAGGACTTTATGGAATCCTTCAGGGCCCACATGTGGAGCTTGAAGGGTTTTTTGGAATCCTTCAGGGCCCACATTTGGGTCCTGAAGGGTTTTTGGAATCCTTCATGGGCCCACATGTGGGACCTAAAGGATTTTTTGGAATCCTTCAGGGCCCACATGTGGGGCTGAAGGATTTCTTGGAACCCTTCAGGGCCCACATGCGGGGGCTGAAGGGTTTTTGGGAATCCTTCAGGGCCCGCATGTGGGGCCTGAAGGATTGGTTGGAATCCTTCAGGGCCCACATGCGGGAGCTGAAGGATTTTTTGGGATCCACTGCGACAAGCAAAGTGCTGGCGGCGAAGTCATCGCGACAGCTTTTTTGTGGAGTCCGATTAGTCCGAACAACGTGGCAAGTTTGCTCCTTTGTTCCTATAACCCCCTTCGAACAATAGTAAACAGCCTCTCTGCCCCCTTTCCTCTCAGAGTGCAGTGCCCATCCGACACGAGTCATGGCTCTGCCCGCGGAGGAGTCGTCAAGAAACTGTCTCAGAAACCCATTTTGAAGGCGAGCTGGGCGGCGATGTTGGATGTTCCAGTGCCCTGTGTCACTGTTCCGCGTAGCTTGTTAGGGTGCTGGTGAGCACAAGCACGTGGCTCCCTGCCGTGGGCAAGTCCGCGGGGACGCAACTTGAATGCACAACTCAGCACGAGTCAGGGCTGAATGAGCCACTGTATTGTGTCAACCTTCGAGGAAACTCCAAACTCCTCTGATGACAGCGCGCGCATCTCAGTCAAGCAGAGCCCGTGTCACATGACTGTTTGTCCAAAGCTTCAGCCGCAATACCAAGCAATACATTGCCTGCACATCGGCAAGAGACTTGCAAGTAGCCGCTCGTTTTTCTAGGTCTTGACATGGCCCATGGCTCGGCGCATGTGAGCAGCCGCGGTTCAACCGCAAAAGCATGCAACGCAGGCTTGGGGCTAAGCCGTAACTGGCCGTAATTCGTCAATGCCTGTGGTCTGGGAGGGCTGCAAAAGGTCTAGAATAGAAGAAGGTCTCACACCTCTCCTTTCGTGGACAGGGCTGTAAGTACTGCCAATCGATCTGTGCCCACGCAACAACTTGCAACCTGAAAGGCCTTTTGGGCTTGAGGGCTTGTCACATACATTCGTCACTTGGTAATGACAGGGGTTCAAGTGGGCTCAGCTAGCCCCCACATGTCGGCCCTGAAGGATTCCCAATATAATCCTTCAGCCCCCAAATGTGGGCCATGAAGGATTCCAAAAAATCCTTCAGGCTGCACATGTGGGCCCTGAAGGATTCCAAAAAACCCTTCAGCCCCCACATGTCGGCCCTGAAGGATTCCAAAAAACCCTTCAGGCCCCACATGTGGGCCCTGAAGGATTCCAAAAAATCCTTCAGCCCCCACATGTGGGCCCGGAAGGGGCTTGAATCCGGTCTCTCGTGACTCGTGATTTTTTGATTGGGGATCCTCTGGGGTCGGGGGAAGCCAAGAACACAGCAAAACACGTGAGAGGGGTCCATGCCAGAGTCGGCGACGTCCTCGAGATCCCCCGAGTTGGCGGTGTATGAGGGTGCTGGGGATGTGTGGGGTGTGCTTCAGCCTCCACCCTGTCCCTTAAATAAGAACATCCGCTTCACCTTGCGGTGGAAGCTTGAGCTTGTCTACTTCGGATTGTTGCATAAAACTCGAAAGCTTTCCCCAGGCAAGGAGAACGGTCCTGTCGTGAACGAACTGGATGAGGCAGGCGCAAATGGGGCCTCGGCAGTCAATTAACACTCTCGTCAGGCTTGTGGTTGCGGCCCACTCAAATCTCCCAACCAGCCCCTGACCTCTCATACCATATCATATCATATCATATCATATCATGAACAACCCAGAAAACCAGAGGCAGTTAACGAGATGCGAGGCCAATGGTGCGGCTTAGCCCCAGGCAAGCGGTCCTTCCACTGGAATCCAGCAGCCTCTCGCTTCCGGGCTGGCCTGGGGCCTGCGCTGCCTGAGCAGGTCTGGAGGAGGCCACCAGCGTGTGACAACTTGCGAAGGCACACGTGGCACTGGCACACGTTGCACACTCTCCCACCCACCAAAGCTGCCAGAGCTGCCCTGCCTGTGGTCACCATCTGGCGCTTCTGTTTGGCATCAAGGCCCGGCCACGATGTTGCTGACATGGCACACGCACCCGCCCAGCACTGCGTCCGGACTCCGTCCTTCTCGCGTGCAAGGCAGCACAGCCCGCACCTTAGGGTCACATAGACCCTGAGCTGCGGGTTCTGCTGTGTCGGACGCGACAAAGACGGAGTCCGGACGCCATGCACCTCATGGTGCATTTTGAATTTCCTTCGGGGCGATCCATTGGGACATGCCAAGAACTGCCAAGAACTAGTGTGGGAATGTACA